AGCCTTTCCAGACCATTTACATGCACAAAAACCTATTTAACAAATTACAGGAAAGGAAAACCCCTAACAATAATAATACGGCCTCATTAAGTGTTTTTATTTATCTGTAGGTTATATGATACTTGGTTTATTATCTGGGAAGGGAGGAGTAGTTTGATTTAATGTAGTTCTTGGTTGTGAAGCGTCTTTTCTGTAAAGTGCTATATGAATGAAGTTTGATTGACTGGTACTGACTATACTGTCCTGAGCTGGTCTGGTAGATGGAGGTGGGAGCTGTTGCTTCGGCAGCAGAGACCACCACCTCCTCCTCCATCTTCTCCTCTTCGATTTTAGCAACCGCCGGTGAATCCGATGAAAGCTCATTCAGTATTTTTCTGCAGGAGAAGAGAGTTCAAATAAAGTGAGTCCACAGAGACAGTTCAACATTATCAAGACGTAACTCTTCACACACGTTGTGCTTTTTTCATCATTATGCTGACGTCTCTCACCGATAAGACGGACGCCTGGAGAGAAGCACCCGCCTCTTCTGAGTGTCTGCTTCTGATTGGTCGGGCTCCAGCTCTGCTACACTGGCAATCTGAAACATAAAAACAAGCAGAATTTAAAACTAGTCCAATATAGTTTAGGAATTTTGGCAACCTCTCTGGTGATTTACGCTATCACTGAGGTGTTGCTTTCCCACACAGACGTTTGTGAGTAAACTGGGATGTAATGACGTCAAAGAAACAATTCTCAACAGTCTTTAGAGCTCATGTCAAAGTGACCCAAAGGGCATTGTTAGAACAATAACAAACATGCATTTGGAAATGATTACTTGTCATGAATCAGTAAGCTTTTATGACTCACACTGGTGCGTAGTTGTTGTGCGTTATCAACACAAAGGCTGCTTTGGCCCTGTTAAACGACAATGCCTGTGCCAAACAAAGGAGGAGTCTGATGGATGCCAGGTTAAATACATGCTTTTATTGATAATTATGGGAGTGGAAGTTAAGCATATGGTTGTCAGGCTTACCATCACAAAGCAGAAGTTGATAAAAGAAGCAAAATGAGATTAATTGTGTCGTATTTCGAACTATTTTTTGCCTGGGAATCCGCCTCCAAATGTTGAAAGCAAATAATAAACTGGTTTAACAATACTGAGTCAGTGACACAGGATATTCATTTCTATGACAATTTAAATATTACTGTGAAATATCAGCCAATACCACAGTTAAATGGAACTTGTTATTGATGCAACTCACTGATATGAGCGACAGAGTAATTGGAAATCAGTCAACAAAACCACTTTGATGTTGACGTCTGCATTTTCACTTAGTTCACAGCTTTGATCTGCGTTGTGACCCATTTACATGTACAGATACTCTTTTCATGAAACGACAGAGTATCCTGTGCTCTGCTAATCAAGATGCACATGTGAGAAAATCTGCTGCTACATGGTCACAGATTTTGGGGCAGCGTAGGAACCAAATGGAAGGTGTTGACCCCATTTCTACTAGGTTTGCTGTCGCAATTTCTACGCTACTTCAGAACAGAAATCGCACTACTCTTCCCGATTGGACTGTTTTTCGCCTGTCTTTTCGCAAAAAAAGGTGAAACAAGCAGAAGTGGAGCAGTATTGTTTTAGTGCGTCTGCCTGCCTATACCCTCAACAGGGAACATTTTTTATTTCGCATTCAAAAACTATTTTTTTCAAGTGCTGGAAATACTGAAGCACCTCCACATTGTTCCGTAGAACAATCCCATATGGACTTTTTTTCAGTGTTACCCAGTTTCTCCTGACCAGACGCAACATCTCCTGAAGGTTAGACTGAGGAGCTTAAGCCTCATACACATCAACAATCCTATTAACGCATACTCTGCATAACTGGTACGTAAATACTCATTCACTATCACACTCACTTTGACATCACAACTTCCATTTTTGTAGACAACTGTTCTCATTATTTAAATAAAACTCAAGACATTAACATGAGGACTTCCCATGTCTTTGTTCTTTAGCTTGAGACATGATGTGACAGGCTTGAGACTCAAAGAGGTAGTTTGGATGTTTTAAAGTGGGGTCGTATAAGGTACTTATCCATTGTTCGTGTATAACCCATTGTGGATGGAGGTTGGCATGCCCTTCCTTTCGAGAAACAAAGTCCTAACTAGTCCTTTAAAAGACAAAAGCCAAGTTAATAAACTCAATAAAGGTTTTTAGTTCTGGGAGCTGAAGTGTAGTTTTGGTCAATGGAGTCTGGTGGCTTTGAAGGGAGATTACATGTATACTGTATAATGGGTTCAGTTCCATGTAGATTAAAGTAGATTTGGCGTGAATGACTTGAGACTCATCTTAATTTTTGTCAAATCCTTTCAAATAATATACTTGAGACTTGAGAAATGGCCAGAACATGTCCTCGATTACTTGATTCTTGACTTGAGGCTAGGCCTGAAGAAAAGAACATTAAATCTACTTCGAAACCTTTTTTGGTTTTTTCCTTTCTGGTACAGTGGATCTGTGGCTTCTTCCTGGTTTCCTGTGTGTGATTTGCTTGCATGACCACCCTACAATTGTTTTGTACATGTATCTACTAGCTTCTTATGCTGGACTGGAATCAACACTCATTTGTTGTGAGCCCGTTTTGGGGGATGGTGCCCCATGGTACTGGACTAATTGCTGTGAACATATTCATGTAATGTATTGCCTCTGGTGACCTATATGTTCTTTGTTATGTTTTTGTTGAAATGTGTCAACGACTTAAAAATAAAGTATGACAAAATATATAATAATTTGAAGCTGGTCCAGATCATGGCCGATGCGTCTGATGCTCTCACCTGGACGGTCTGGACCGGGGGGGCCTGTATGACGGAGGTCTGAGGGGCCTGGATCACCCTGTGGACCTGAAGCATCTGACCATCACTCAGCTGGACCACCGTCACTCCTGGAGACCCTCCTTCCACCGACACCTGGAGGCACAAACCCAGACCATCACGCTTTAAAAAAACAAAGACGTCAAAACTATATTACCGCAATAACATTATGTGGTGTTAAAGTACAGAACTTCATCTTCAGTCGAACATTATAGACTGGAATGTTGTATCGTAAACTAAACATGATATTCTGAACTTATTTTACACTTTTCAATGAACATCCAAGTGTGTTGTTTTAATGTTGTTTTTTTTAATTAATTTTAGCATGTAAAGTGTCTTTGATTACCCTAAAAAGTGCTCTATAGATGAAAATGTATAAAGTGAGAAGACACCTGCAGGACCTTCTCCCTTCTCTGTAAATGAAATGTACTTTGTCTACCTGAGCAGGATCTGCAGAAGAGGAACTGCCGTCACTGTGGTTCTCCTCTCCATCGGAGTCCTTCAAACTGCCGTCCAACTGAGGAGAAACTGAGGCGTCCATAGTCCCTCACCTATAGACAAACTGACAGAAAAACACATTCCTAATGTTGTCTTTTCAGAGATCAACCCAGAATTTCTTTATTAGTCCTACAGCAGGGACATATATAGTGTTACAGCAAAAGTGGCATAGCAGGTAAAAAAAAAAGGCAAGCAATAGCAAAATAAAAAAGCAGACATTGGTATCAAATAAAACAAATAAAAGACAAATATGTACATAACCATGGCAACAACAAAAAATTGTAGCAGCAAATTAAGTAAACTGAGTGATATAAATAGCATATTAAAGTATAGGGACATAAAAAATACGTTTGGGGACATTTATGAAACAATGTATTATTTACATAAAGTGATTAAAGCAATGTACAATTGCAAACAAGTGTTTATATTGCAAATAAATGGTTTTCTGGTCTTTGTTTTCTGAGCCACCTCAAAGTAGTTATTTCATGTCAGTTTCATTGATATTGCATGTAAGGTTTCAATTGTGTTTCCAACATGTCAAGAACCAAAGTTCAGTGGAATTTAAAGTAAAAAAATGTGGTCATTTCCCAGAGTCTGATTCTAAAACATTATTAAAAAACACAATAATAATATATGTTAATGGAGATCTTTCCATGAAATGTGTTGTCAGAATAGCTGAACACAATGAGGACACTTTGAATTCAGTCCAATAGATTCCAGGGTTTGCTTGTGAGTCAAATACATCTGAATGAAGATCTCTGTTGGCACTGATTGTGTATTCGGTGTGTGACAAATCCATTCCTCATGCTCATTTTGTGTGGCAGCCACCCGGTGGGACTGGCAGACTAAAATAACGTTACACACTCGAGTGACGAGAGAGAGAAAGGATCAAATGGTTTTACATGTGTTTGAATGTACACATAGTTTAGATACTGACTTAGTTTGAATGGTATAGTTCACAAAGACCAATGTCAACACCAACGTCACAAAAACCAGGATAGTCGTAGTCCAACTATTTCCAAAATGAACACATGTGGGGCCCTTATTTTCAACCACAGGGCTCGATAAAGGTTTGTTCTAACGCTTTCTCAAAATAAGGTTGTCTACTATCCGGAACTAAGAGAGCGAAATGTCCTGATAATGCAAATATGTTATCAAAGAGATTACAAATTAGAACAAGAAGAAGGCATTCTTTATTTATCTCCAATAGAGGAAAGTCAGGGGATTAATAAAGTATGCCTTATAAAGTAAAAAGTAAAGCAAAATCTGTGGTAACTCATGGTAAAGTTACCTAAATATAATGTTGGATGGTTGAATCTATAACAAATAATCGTATATTTGAAAGGTTTTCCCTTTTATTTTGTGTCAAAAAATAATAGATAAATGTAGTTGAGTAAATAGTAGGCTAAACGTTTTTAAAGTTTCCACTACATTTGTTTACGGTTTTAGCATATAATGTGACACTGTATGTCATTTTATTGACACTATTTAGACACAACCAAAGTTATATCTAAAACGGATTTTGAACAAAAATCGTTGATAAATATTTTTATTTTGAAAAGAGAACTTCCGGTCTCCATCTTCTTTTTCTCTAACTTGACGCGTCTCTGTAAACTTGAACAGAAAGGAAACAGCCTGAGAAAATGTTTTTAACTCCGTGTTGACTCGCTGAATCATGTTGTTAAATTACAGTTTTAATGCAAAGTGTGGCCTCTTAGACGTGTTTGCACATAGAATCTTCTCGAGAAGCGGTGAGAGAAATTGTGACAGCTTTGCAGTGACTTACCGAATAATACGTAGTTTGACTCGTCACTACAGTAATGACAGCCCTGCTCACGTCAGCGCTGATGATGCTGTGCCCAAAATGTCGACCAACGGCTCACTTTATGGTCAAAGAGTGGCGAGGTGCCTCGAGATGAATCACTCCAATCTACTTCCACGTTCGTTATGCACTTCGTTAACAACAAGCGAAATAATTGTCTTCCTTGTATTTTTAATTGTCAACAGAAATGATTTTACAGCAAAGTAGCACATCGTTTTTCAGTGTATTAGAATGTATTGATATAAATTGATTCAACGAAGATTTTGTACTCGGTTTTGGACCTAACATGATTGTTTACAGAGTTATGAGTAGCCTACGTATATAAAGTTAGACTGCAAAATGGATGATTATCAGTAAAACGAAGGATATTTTTAGTAATCTGTAACGGGAGAACGTAAGGCAAGGTAAGGCACGTTTATTTATGTAGCACATTTTAACACAATTTCTGAATTTATTTAAATGTATTTAATCCCTTTTATACAGTCTATGATCCCTTTATGGTGAAAGAGTGGCGAGGTGCAGTAAGATTATTCACTCCCACCCTACTTCCGTGTTCGTTCGCATTGCTCTTCGTTAACAACCATAACAAAAAACTGTACCTCGCAGTTGCACAAATGTATTATTATCAGTAAAAGTTAAGGATATTTTAGTAAACTGTAGAAGAACACATAGGGCAAATCAAGCCACTTTTATTTATAAAGCACATTTCCACGCAAGGAAATTCAAGGTGCTTTACAAAAAACATAAACAAATATGAACACAAACAAATATATTATTAAAATGCCTTTAAACACATTCAATTCCAGATAGATCTGAATATTAAAATATAGGAATCGACCTTAAATAACCTTAATGTCTTCCAACATATCTATTAAACTAAAGGTAGGACAAGATAGCAAATACAAGAACAAAGTAATGTCAATTTAAACAATACACATAATTTATTTATTATTGCATAAGTCTGCAATAATAAATAACTGGCAGATTTCATAGCAATTTTTAACGTATTTTTGTGTTTTCTTTCTACGGTGAATCACATGTTTGCAGACAAGAGTAATGTTGCCATCTGCTGGCATGAAATGCAACAACACTTTAAAAATAGCAAATGTGCAAAATTATGTATTTATTCTAGCATTTAGGATGCATTTTCAAGCATTTTCTAAACAAACAGGTAAATGTCACATTAAGATAAGCCTTAACCTGGCTGTTAGTACTTATCCATTTCCCAAAAGCCTACATTATTAAAAAGCTGTAATTGAAAGACCTACAATACAAAGTCTATATTCCCAATGTCATGTTTCCTATGTATCATGTAATTCTGATTTAAAGGTACAGCACTGTGGATGTAGTGTGCTAAATTCCTTTATTTAGATCTGACAGTGACCCCAGAGCCACCATCTGTCCCTCTGCATGCCAGGAGAGGTCGTACTGTTCCCCTCGACCTGCTGTTGTCACATGGCCTGGTCCCTCCTCTAATCTCTAACAGTGGGATGAATGACTGATTCAGCAATATGTGAATGAGGTGCCTTCAGGTGCTGAGTTCATGTAAAGTGCTCATGTGAAATATGCATAGGTTGCATTACGTGTTTTGTATATTGCGATTCCATATAGCTGAAATCCCCACTAGATAGATGGATAGATAGATGGATGGATAGATAGATAGATAGATAGATAGATAGATAGATAGATAGATAGATAGATAGATGGATAGATAGATAGATAGATAGATAGATAGATAGATAGATAGATAGATAGATAGATAGATAGATAGATAGATAGATAGATAGATAGATGGATAGATAGATGGATAGATAGATAGATAGATAGATAGATAGATAGATAGATAGATAGATGATAGATAGATAGATAGATAGATAGATGGATATATAGATGGATAGATAGATGGATATAGATAGTTAGATAGATAGATACTTTATTGATCCTAATTTGGGAAATTATTTTGTTAGAGAAGAAGCATGAATGTGTTCTAATACAAACACAATTATAAACCAAAGCAATGTCTTACATGTAAACCATTATACTTGTTATGGTGTAAAGCCAGTTATCGTAAAAAAAAACTATTATTGTATTGGAATTGTTAACATATTTCATACTTTTTGCATATTCTCGTGAGGAACAACCATTTCTAGTTTTAATTATATTTCAATTTCCCACCTGATTTTGTTTACAATCAATTAATTTAGCAAAACTCTGTCATGTTCGTCTAAAAAATTGAGTCAGGGTCCCTCCTCATCCCACATCTTACCCTCTGGTCCTCCTCCTCCTCCTCCTCCTCCTCCTCCTCCTCCTTGGCTTGTCCTGCAGAGGACTGAGGCTCCAGATGGTGGAGGGCCAGCAGCAGAAGGGGGACCCTCGGGGGGGGGGGCACAGAGGCCTGACAGCAGGGAACCACGTGACCTGAGCCAGACAGCTCTTTAGGACAAAATTAGCCCGGGATGAACGCTGAACAATGGCGTGCTGGTAATACCATCAGAGAGGGGTTTGAGAGCCGTATGCCCTCCGCAGATTAAAGCCGGCCTGATTTATATCATTTCACAATCCTTTCAGACAAAGCGAGGGGTAAAATGTATCAGAGGTTAAGCTGCAACAACCTTGTTCCATTCGTAGTGCCTATTAAGTCATAACAGATTAATTCTGCACATAATATGATTACAATTACGAAATATAAGTGTAAATACTTACTCTGCAACTATAGCCACTGTTTCAGCCTCCATTGAAGAAAGACAAAATGGTTGTAGTAATGTCACTGAAAACATCAGAGGGTTTCTTTTAGGGGCAGTTACACCATAATGACAGGGTGGACGGCAATTTCAGGGACACATGCAACATGTTCAATATGATTATGAAAATACAATATACAGGATCAAAATTACTCGTTTTCTCTAATAACTTGTTGTAGACAATAAAACCATATATATATATTTTTTATTTAGTATGATTTAACCACTTATTACACACACTGTTAGCAGAGCAGTGTGTGGGACATGCCAACATCACGTACATCCAATGAAAAAACCCGGTATAAATTGAAGGAAACACATTTCAAGAGACTTATCATTGTGCTGATATGTGTGTAAACGTTTGGCCATTTATAATAAGACCTCAGTTTCATTATTCTGCTACATTTTCATGATGACTGAGTGATTCTGACGAGGACACCAACGTTACTTTATAGTGATATTGACTCTGCAGCTTAAAGCCGGCCTGTTTGTTTGATTTCACACTCCTTTCAGACAAAATGAGGGGTAACATCTATCAGAGGTTAAGCTGCTACAACCTCTTTCCATTCTTATTGCCTATTAAGTCATAAAAGATTCATTCTGCACAGAGAATCTTGGAGATATATTGTCCTGACTTGTGTTGCTCTTTTAGTAGGACTTCCATGCTCAAAGATTCAAGGCTTTTATTGTCATGTGTACATAGCTATAGTGTAGATATGTCAATGAAAATCTTAGGTCACAGGCTCCTCCAACAGTGCAACACAATATAACAGAATAGAGATCAACATCACATTTCTGTGGTGCGTTTAAGCATCTTAGATCATGTAGAACGATGCAGAAAGGGACATCTGCATCCAAAACATGTTTCTGCGTGACACCAGTCTGATTAATCAGTGTTAAATAGAAGTAGATTTAAAGGACTTTTACCGAAGAGACATTGTTACACAGCATATTCAAAGTATTTAGGATTGGATTGATCAAGAGTTGGATAACAAACTTAAACATAGTTTTCTCTTTGAAGGAAGGTTATGTCAAAGGGGGTTTGAAAATCTAATTATAGTGACATTAGTAACTGTCTGATAGCACCACTGAGGTCTCTAATGATCCACTTCTAGTCAATTAAGTCATCTGAATAACTTTGCAAATCACAAGCACGACTGAACCTGCCGTATTAGGCGCTTTCACATCGGAGTACTTTTCCCAGGAATAATTCCGATAGTTCCTGGGATTTTGTGTTCATACCAAAAAGATAAGGAACTATAACTTTTTTTTGCGAACCTTTTCACCCCTTTTTAGCTTTTTAGTCCATGCTATAGAGCAGGGGTCACCAACCTTTTTTAGGACGAGGGCTACTTTAAAAAAATAAAACAAGTCGGGGGCTACTTTTACTCCTCTTTTTTTGTTTTTTGCAGTGTATATATTTAGCACATTTGAACATTCTTACCTTTAACCTTTGTGTGCTGTTTGGCTCTGTGGGACCCGTTTTCAGTGTTTACTAAAAGAAAATGTATGCAATTTAATAATTTTAACCTGCTTTATTTGGGGGTGGACCTCACATCCTCTAAAAGGGGGCCTCACATCCTCCAGGGGGGATCTCATATCTTCTAGGGGGGTCCTCACCTCCTCTAAAATATATTTTTTTAAATGTTGAAGTGAAATGCACCAATCTGCTGCACT